AAAAAACACTGAAAAAGTAAAAGAAAAATAGCCAAAACTTGTTAAAACAAATGTTGCCTTCCCATTTATATTCCCGCCACTGCACATGTAATCATTTACTTGTACATATGTATGTATATAAGTACTTGAGCTTTCTTGGAACTTCACTTCAATTTACAATTCAGTCGACAACTGTTGGATAAAATATTAAATTACAAAATCCCAAAAGTATGAGTACTTAATCTAATTGAATATTTTATGAGTATGCATGCACTTGCACACATGAAGAATTGCAGAGTGCTTGCACAGGCAATAATTAAATAATTCCATTGTCAAATGTTCAATTTGCTCAATGAAAAGAAGCATTTTTTTTAACAGTAAATTGATTTATTCATTGTAAAATATTTTTCAAATTTTCATTTCAAATACAAGGCTAAGCAGGAAAGACAAAGTGTACGATTGATTGCATACAACTTGTTAGTGTGTGTTTATAAAGCAATTAAGAGAAATATATCGTTACTTCACTTGCATAGTANCTACCATTTTCGAAACAAGGGATTGCATTCTTGCCCTTTCTCTGTCCTTCGTAAATGCAACCTTTTGTAAGGGAGTGTCAAACCGCAGCTGTCAATAATTATCTAACCTTGTATTATTGAATCATGGTACTGCATGAAAATAATTCACTTGTCTGAACGCTGCTCGCTTCTCTCCTGCCTCAACTGCTGGCGAAACCCACAATTCGCAATACCACTTGCACCTCACTTCAATCACTCGGATGACTATTTGGAGCATAAAATGTTGCTGAGTATATTTTATTTTTTATTTTTTCATTACTTTTAGTAGCTTTCAACACTCAGCAACAAGTTGTTTTTGCTTTTGTTGCAAAATTAATTGCTTAGAAGTTTTTGCTACACTACACAATGCTTACGTTTGTAAAATGTCAAGCGTTTGAGAATTTATACAAATTTAAATTGAAGTGTGTAAATATGAATTTTTGTGTGTGTGTGTAAGGGATTAAATTTACAAAGAGAATGTGTGTATGCTTAGGAATATTGCCATTTAAGGCTGGTAATGGCTTTGAGAGTTGGAAAAATTTCATTTTATTTATTAACCGAAGGGAAGGTTGGAATAGGGACAATAACGAGTAGACAATTTTTATGTACAAACTAGTAACTAATACCGGCTGGTTTCACCCCATGTTTTTATAAAAATATGAAAAATAATTCAAAGCTGATATATTTTATATTTTGCGGCTATTTTTTAAGCGAGTTAAGGTATTTAGACCGCTTAACACTATGAAATTACAAATTCTCACACTAAAATTAATTGGCATAGTACATGAGGAATGCGCCAAGCAAAGAGTTTACTGGCAGGCTTTATCAAGAAGCTTAATTAACCACCCAAACGAGAGGGGTCGCAATTCTAACAGGTATCCTTTACCTTCTAACTTTATTTTCCGGTCTGAGAGATGAGAAGCGTTTTTTTTTTTTTTTTGTCAATAAAACCATTTCTTTGGCGAAGATCTTAAAATATTGGCTGGAGCAGAGTTAAATTTGTATTGCGTCATTATTATTTCCTGTAAATTTTCCTATACTAAAAAGAAAAAAATGGATCAGATGGCCTGATACTCTGACCATGCTATACAAAGAAATGAGCGCAAAAAACTCCTGAACATTTTCAACATGCGTTACGGAAAAATTTTTTATTGGTCATTTTCTAACGATGAAGAAATTTGCTGTTACGAAAACACAAAGCAAACACTTTTCACAAAAATTACAAAAGAGTAACTAATAGTTACTAAAAAAAACAAAAAAAAAAACACCTTGGAACACACCCAAAAGCTCGTCATTCTTGCCTTGCGCCGCCCTTTAACGTTACAAGCACAAAAGAAAATGCGTTCTAATATCGGCATAATGGTGGCCTAAATAATGACCACAATATGTGGCCAAAGAAAAGTAAATAAATGAACACACAGCAGCCCAAGCATACAGTATTGTGCCATAAAAAGTTGCCAGAATACAAAAAGTGCCAGACGCAAGAGGGATCGATGCAATTTCAGAGAATGAATGAAAAACAAAAAAAAAAAATAATATATATCCTTAAAGAATGCAAAAGAAAGTGGGAAAAAGTGCGTGTGTATACAATGACCCAGCAGCGCAACCTCTTGTTGCACTCCCAACTCCCAAGAAATCACGGTTCTAAAATAATATATTGCTTTAAAAGGGGAAGCTAAGGACAAACAAAAAAGTAGCTGCTTGGTTGAGGGAGGTTTTGATAAATACCACTTGCATACATTTAATTTTGAGATAGGTGTTTGCAACACTTTTCGGCGCATATATTATTGGTCTATTGTAAAGCGTATTTGTCTTTGGGAACGCCTCCATAATCAATTTGTGTGAGAATTACAAAATTGCTTGCATTTTAATGACACGCATTATTTACGTGCCAGTTTATACTAATGTATTATTTATTTGCGCAGTATTTTCGAAATAGTACAACTTAGACTAAGTGCACAATTAGGAAATACTAATATATTGCGTATATTTCAATCAATAGAGTTCCAGAAATAGTTCCAGTTCCAGTTCCAGTACCGGTTAAAGCGGTATATTAGCACGATTTGTTATTTTTACTTTTTTGAGTATATCTTTTTTAAGTTTTCATTTCAAGACAATATCGCGAAGAAATCTTCTTCTTTATGCAAAACGTAAGATAATGCAATGTGAAAGATAAGTGTGCCACCATTTTTGTCCAAAAACACGTTTTTGTTGAAAAATTTAGCAACTCGTAAGATTTGCTCACCTATTGATTTTCAAATACTCGCAATGTTTTTCATGGAAATTAAAAACTTTTTAATCAGAATTTGTTCTTGAATTCCAAGTATGCATTTTTATAGCTCATTAGATTTTAGTATAAAAATGTGCAGATTTGAAGTGGCTATTTTGTAGTAGTTGAGTTTTAAACATTTTTTTTGGGCACGGTTCTACGCATTTTCTTCCATATAAATATGCGCGATTTTTTTATAAAATAAGAAATAACAAATATTTTTAAAACGGTATTGCCAAATAAATTTTCGAAATAATTAAAAGAACTAGAGGTACGATATAACAAAACGGTGGCAAAACAGAGAGTAAATCCAATAGGGCCAATAAACCTCTTTAATCTGTGAAAGCAAAGCCCTTGCAACTAAATTATGGTCACGAAAAACAAATTTCATAAATTTGACTATAGTACCATAAAGGCTTTCCTGAGTAAAAAAAAGAAAGCTGAAAAAGTATTAGTTTGCTAAGTCAAAGTGAAAAGAAATCTGAGTCACGCTTTTAAATATGGTATTCTCTAATAAAAAGCAATTTATCGATTACTTTCCATAATACTTTCCATAATATAATAAACAACTTTAAAAACAATCAAAACCTATGAAAAAATAGTAACAGATAATTTCAATAAATAACCGATGAATTTATGAAATTATACAAAACAAAATTTTATTTAACAATCGATAGCTTTAAAAAATCGATAACGTTTCAGAAATTCACATCCAATATAGATTTCTCCAATCACAATAAATTTTTAGTTACCTTACATTTTTTATTTTAACTCTTTCAAAATTTGGAACAATTATTTTCTAAACAAAATCTTAATCGTAATTTTAATTATAAATATTTTGAAAGTAAAATGTTTACGTCATCAGTGAATCGACATTTTTTCCAATTCTTTGTTACTCCTTTTAAGTTTTTTTGTAATAAATTTGTCATGCATAATTTTGAATAAATTTTTTTTTATTCTTTAGCTATTTCGAGAAGTTTCATCTTTTCCATTTCTTACTTTTTTCTAAATTTTTTCTCGTAAATTGTATGTATGTACGATTGCTAGTAAACAAATAGCGACGCAATATTTTAACAAGTTTTTGCTATTTTTCTTTTGTTTATTTAATGTTTATTATTTTCGTTTATAAAAGAATAGCTCACAATCTAACAAAAACCATTATGTAAAATTTCAAACTGTGTACAATATTTATTAAAAATCTTTAAAGTTTTACCCCCGATTTCACCTGTAATTTAAGTAAAAATTGTATTTTTATCTACTGTTGGTTTTCACAAGAAATTCAAATTACAAACAAAAAAAAAATTTAATTAAATTGCTTGGGTGAATTTGGCTATTACAATTTTTCAGAATTTAAAACAAATAAATTTTTCGTTTAAAAATATTATTTTTACATTTTACATCTTTTTATTTGCAACATCTACAATATGTTAATAGGGAACCTCGCGCGCGGATTTTACATTAGTTTACAATTTTCGTATGTATTTGTTGAAATTTTAGACATTTTGACTTTGCTCCGATGTAAAAAAAAAAAACAAACTCGAGTTTGAAAAAATTAAGCATGTCAAAGTTTTATTAACACCCTGCTAGACTTACAATATTTTGTAGAAAAGTGAAAAAATAATTTTTTTTTAATTGCTACTATTTTTTAAAGTTTAAAAAAAAATTCTTTTGTCTCTCAAATCAGTACCGTGGTCAGACACCAGAACTCAATTGAAAAGAATTCTTAAAAAAAATTAAAATTTTTTTCGTACAGATTTCACAAACGGTAAAGGACCTTAATAATAAGTAAATGTATTTTCATATTAGTTTTAGGTGAAAATTTAATACACATTATATTCAATACCCACTATCTGTAATTTTCACAAAAACTACTTTCTGATATTAGAACCCATCTGGGATTTACCTGTCATCACTAATGCAATTTAATAGTAAATTCTTCTATCAAGCTTTAAACAACGTCTGCATTAACAACACCAATGACAGTTAAGTCTTAGATGATTTTTTTTTTTTTATCAGAATCTCATTTTGCTGAAAAGTGCAGATAGAGGGTATTGAATATAAGTCCTCGATATGTATAGTAATATATGAAAATATTGCAGTTTTTAGTACTTACAATATATATTTTCTACAGGATATCTTGAATTCACCTTACTGCATTTTCCAAATTTTTCTTTTCTTATTTTTTTTTTCACGCACAGTTGGTCTCCAGCAACCCCAACCAGCGGAACTGGCGCGGAATTTTCATCGCCTTATTGGTGATAATCATTGTACTGGCATTAATTGTTACATCAGTGGTAAGTGCGATTGCTGGAAATATAAGAAAACACTAGTTTATATGTGTGTATTTATGTCGAAAGATAATTGTAAAAATGTAAATAGTTGTAAAAAAAAACCTCCTGAAAATGCATGTCACTAAAGTATTATTGAAATTTGAAAAAATATGAGTGTCTGTCGAGTGTCTTTGTATCCGACCAGTATTAGGCTTACGAAAATGTAAAAATTCTACATCACACTCATCTTATAATTTTGAAAAAATTATGCTTCTTTGCAATTGATTTAATGTTTTATAATTTTGCCAAAAACTTTATGTGACAAAAACTATTTTTTTTTTTATAAATTTCCAAACCGATATAAAGTCAGTAATATTCCATTTCAAGCACTTAAGCCCACTGATTTTTAATGTGACCCACCCTAATGTGTAATTATGTAAATATGCCTTGACCTGCGCACGTCTGTTGTACATACATATTTTTCAGCTTGTTTCAGTTTTTCCCATTCAGTTTTTATGTATTTTTGTGTAATTTGTTGCATACTTCACGGCTGCTAAACTTTTATTTAATTTAATTTTTCATTATTTTTGTTTTAGTCTAGTCACATTATTATATTTCTTCCATTCGTATATATGTATGCTATGCACACAATATACATTTGTCTGTGTATGTATGCCTACTTATTTCGCCTCATGTACTCGTATTTTGCGCAATTCTTGTTGTTGTCATCCCGCCAATGCCAATTTTCGTGTAAATTTGATGTCATATATTTTCCCATTTTTCCTATATTTTTTGTGTCTCGTGGTGGTCGTGTGTCCCCCCGGTATTTTTGTGCTTTTTTTCTTTCTTCTTTGTCTGGGTTTTCTCTTATAGAAAACAACATATAAAATTTCTGCATTTATCAAAAAAGGTACTACTCACACCACCCGATGAGGGGCCGCGCGTCAAGGGACAACGCATCAAGCTGCAGGACATTGTGGATGGACTCTTTATGCCACAGCGAACCAATGGTACATGGATAAATGGTGAGTATGAAAATGAAGCTTAAGTTGTATTTTATGTATGTATATTTGAAAAAAAATAAAATAAAATAAAGTTGGTTGAAAACGGCTTAGCAAGTTGAGGGATAAAATCGTGTAGATCGCCAGAAACTTTAACCCTTAATAATAATGACTGATTTTATGCACATAGAGGAAAGTCAGCACTAGCGATGCTAACTCTGTCAAAGCCAATTCCCCAAATTTCTGAAAAAAAAAATTCTTATATTTTCAATCACATTTCCCCAAAACAATTTTCTTTAGTTACACTGTTCGCTGAATCTGAAAACCCATATAATCTCGCCGCCTGATAGAATCTTGATTAAAGAGAAAAGGTAGATCGTAAAAATTCCGAATATCTGAAGAGACCCTTAACCGATCGAAACAAATCTTCTAAATATCATTTTTTTTTTTTTACAAAAGAATACGCGTATTATTTTTTCTATTTAGAAACATATCGCCGTAAGACTTCAGGCCAATGAGTATCTCATCCTTCCCACTCAAGACGTTGGAGAGGCTAGTTCGAAACAGGATTTCCTGGGAGAGACTAATGTTCTCTCAGCACGGATATATGAAGGGCAGATCCATGGAATATGCCCTGCATTCTGTTGGTAAGGTTATAGAAGAGTCTCTGGAAACCAAAGGCTTCGCAGTAGGGGCCTTTAATAACCTGTTACCCGCGGCGATTGTAAATGCCCTAAGCAAGCTCGGAGTTGAGACCAACCTGGTTGCTCTTATCTCACGCATTCTCTGCGACAGAACTGTCATTTCTGCGTGGGGGAGTGCCTATCTATGGCGTAAGCTGGGGTTCTCTCGCCTTTTCTCTGGGCATTATCATAAATAACATCCTGGAGGAGATGTAATGGAAAACTGTCGGGCGATCGCTTATGCCAATGATGGGGCACTTATTATCAGAGATAAGTTTCTGAACAATCTGTACGATCTTATGCAGCGATACCTAAATTTTGGTCACAAACTAATCTCCAATTGTAAGCTCGCTATTAATCCTGGCAAGACGGAGCTAGTCTTCTTCACCAGGAGATACAAGGTGCCTGATGATCAGCTCCTCTCGATCGGTGTCACTCCACTTGTGCTGTCTGATAAAGTCAAATGCTTGGGAGTGATTGTTGACAGAAAACGAATGTGAGAACCAAATATTGAGGAGCGAGTGAGGAAAGCATCGGTTGTCATTTACTGTTGTAAAAGCGCTACTGGAAAGAAATGGGGTCTCGGCAGCAAAATACCGGTGAATATCTTCATAGATAGGTCGAAGCTTCATGACAGAGTCAAAGGAGGTGTCTTCTGTGAGGAACTAATCTTAGATATTAAATTTAGGCTACCGGATTTCTTTAGCGTATTTCAGGCAGAGGTAGCTGCCATTGAAGAAGCAGCCGATTGGTTACGAACTTGTGTAATATCGTTTATAGAGATAAATATCTACTCTGACAGCCAAGCGGCGCGCTAAGCCCCGGCGTTCAGGGCCCTGGGATCGCTGTGACTTCGTGATCTCGACTAGGAGAAGTGTTTCGAAGATTAAAAGATCCCAAAGATCAATTAGGTCCCAGTACATCCTGTGTATAGTGCCTACATATCTAATCATGTACATAAGAGGAGATCATTAATTTAATATTTTAAACGGGATTTTTCTAAAAAATTAATTATTTCATTCAAAAGCACTGACTTATCAAACTGACCTCGTCAATCATCAGTATTATTTACATACATATACATATGTATGTACATAGATTTGTATTTCCTTCTTTTCAAATTCGAAAACTTTTTATTGCAGGTGAGGAATTTCTATATCAGGATCATTGGGGACGAATTGTGTTATTAAATGCAACCAGTCTTACCGAAAGAGTGCTCATGTCAAATGTAACGTATGTAAGTATGCAAATGGTGACAAAATAGAAAACAAAATAAAATAAATTTAAATTAAATAAAAAGTGATTATGCCATGTTTGCACTAGGCATTGAAATGGCCTTGAAAACGTATTTAATGACAACTGACGTAAGGGCCAGGTATTTTTATGCCTAATGGTGGATTTCCACTGGACTTTAAATGGGAGAAATTTTAATGACAAAGTTGGATATTGAAATACATTCGGGCCATTACGTTAAAAAAATAATTATCATTATTTATTTCCTTATAATATGTATAAATCAGGCATAATATAAAAAAGTGAAAAGGTATTATTTTTGAACTGAATCATTATATTTATAATGCAATCGTTAATACATTCTCATTACAAATTAAAAAAAAAATAAATCATAACAGTTTTTATTTCATAAAAAAGTGAAAAAGTATTATTTTTGCATAGAATCAATATATTATTTCAATACCATCGTTAATACATTAAAAACTTTACATAAAAAATCATAAAGCTTTTTATTGGAAATAAATCGGTATATTTTTCATATTTTTTTAATTAAAAAAGAAATCATAAAATTGTTCAATGCATAAAAAAGTGAAGAAGTATAATTTTTCCATTATTTTTGCAATACCATCGTTTATACAATCTCTTTAAAAATTAAAAAAAAAATATAATTGATTAGCTGCGCTTGATGGTGTGGGCTTACCACATGAAAAAGTGGGAAAATNTGACGCCTTTAGACTATTTTTTGTGGGGCTACGTCAAGTCTAAAGTCTACAGAAATAAGCCAGCAACTATTCCAGCTTTGGAAGACAACATTTCCGAAGAAATTCGGGCTATTCCGGCCGAAATGCTCGAAAAAGTTGCCCAAAATTGGACTTTCCGAATGGACCACCTAAGACGCAGCCGCGGTCAACATTTAAATGAAATTATCTTCAAAAAGTAAATGTCATGGACCAATCTAACGTTTCAAATAAAGAACCGATGAGATTTTGCAAACTTTATGCGTTTTTTTTTAAAAAAAAAGTTATCAAGCTCTTAAAAAATCACCCGTTATTTACAAAACTATCGGTCATTCAATCTCATTAAAAACATCATACAATTTTTTATGGCAATAAATTAGTATATTTTTTTAAATTTAAAAAAATAAATGACATCATTTTTATTGCATAAAGCAGTGAAAAAGTATTATTTTTGCATCGAATCATCATATTTATAATAAAATCTATACTATCTCTTTAAAAATTTTATTTAAAAAATCATATAATTTTTTATGGCAATAAATTGATATATTTTTTAACTTTTTAAAAAATTAAATATCACAGTGAAATTTTTATGACATACAAAAAGTGAGAAGATATTATTTTTGCATCGAATCGTCATGTTTACAAAACAATCGGTTATAGAGTTTCATTAAACATTTTATTTAAAAAATCATAAAATTTTTTATGGCAATAAATTGGTATGTATACTTTTTTATTAAAAAAAAAAAAAACAAACATGAAATCTTGTATGGCATAAAATTGTGAAAAAGTATTACTTTTGCATGGAATCATCATATTTACAATACAGTTAATACAATCTCATTAAAAATTTTATTTAAAAAATCTTTAATTTTTGTATGGCAAAAACTGGTTTAGTTTTTTAGATTTTTTTTGGTCGTTTAAAATTTTTTAATCTTCTTTGAATTTTTGTTTTTTAATTAGCTTCCGAAAATGAATTTTTTTCTAGGATAAAGAGATTAGTAAATATATGTACCAATATAATAGGTTTTTTAATTGTAAAAGGAGTTATTTTTAGAATTTGGATTTCAAATATGTATTCTGCTAACCAAAATCCATAGTAGCTTTCCTTCACATGACTGAATGATTTCCTTTTTTGCTATACTAAATATTTAAAGCTGTTGAAAAAAATTTTCTCGCATACGAAAGTTGTCAATGCTAATAAAATTTTAGTCGCTTAGTCTGAGTTTGGATCAAAAAGTTGGCTCGGTATTTTAGTTCAAACCTCAAAACCAAAATCCTAGATCTTTCAATGCTAGAAAGAAAAACATAGCCAACTTTTGAATTCTGGCAACAAATTTGGATTCAGCGAACAAGTCAATGTTCGCCGGAAAAGTTTTTTTCCTGCAAAGCTGTGTTATTTATAAGTATTTAATGCATTCTGATGTGATGTGCGCTTTGCGGTTGTAAACCATCGAACCTACATAAATACGTACTTTAATTGAAAGCAAATTTATTATTTTTGCCTATATTTTCTTGCACTTAACTAAAAGCAAATGAATAATTAATGAATTTTTCAAAAAAAAAACAAATTACCGTGTAGTAAAATATACAGCAATTAGTGCTTTTGAAACACCTCGATTTTTCCAAAGACCCGCAAATGCAGTTATATAATTTACGAGCTTCAAAGCATTTTAAAACACATCAAAATGAGAAATGCCACGTAGTAAAAATACGCAGTAAATTTAATTACATTTAATGTGTGTTTGTATTAATTTTATGTCACTCATATAAAAATGCGCATGCATATACATTAGGGTGCATCACCAAAAAAACAACTTGCGTTTTTGCACCGGAATTACAAAACTTATTATATTTTAAGACTTCTGGCAAAATATTTCGTAAGAATATTAAGTTTTATGTGTGCTAGACCGATTTGAAAATACCATCAAAAATCGCATTATTTTAATTCCGTTAATAAAATTTTTAAACATTTTTATGCAGACCTTTCAAGCTTAAACACTTTTATCATCTTAGGTGATTTTTTAGAAAATATACCAAAATGTAAACTATTGTTGTTTTCCCAAAACAGTTTTTAATACAAAACAGCCTCAGGCTCAATAAGATGAAAACAAAAACTGTTATAAGACCATTGAATAACAAATGACAAAAAAAAAATATTTTTAAAATTAATTGTATATATAAAAAAAACTAGACTTTTGGAGCTATTTACAAAACTATACAGCTTACGGAAATCTTAATGTTTTTCCGAAATATTTTGGCGGCAGTAATAAAATACAAGACATGCATATTATATTTTCGATGAACAAACAGCACCGATTTTTTTTTTTTTTTGTTTGTAGAGTGATGCACCCTAATGTATAAATATACAGATGGAATATATGGAAATATATTTTTGTCCATTAGAATAACCATTTAAATACATATGCAAGAACTTTGTTGGTGAGTAAATTTTTCTCATTAATTTATCTTTCCAGAAAACACTTGCACCATATACTTTTACTATATCAGCTGATAAACGTTACATTTTATTGGCGCAAAATGTTGTCAAGCTTTTCCGGTATTCATTTTTGGCTCAATATACAATCTTCGATGTACAAACGAGGTGAGTAGCTTTAACGAAATAATCTATCTGTACATATAATAAAATTGTAACAGGACGATGTCTGTACATTATAGATATTTAAGAAAAATTAGTATGGGCGGTCTTTAATAGAGCAACAGAAGCCAAGTCAACAATTTTTAGAATTTTTATCTATCTGTCTGTATGTTTGTACGCGCTTCACTCGAAGAATAATGCAGCTTTAACCGATGTAATGCTAGAGTTCTAACTTAAAACATATAGAAAGATAAAATTTGGAGAGTTGCCACGTGTTTGAAAATTGCAGTTTAAGTAAAATTATAAGATAAAGTGAATATTGCAATATGGCTCCCAAAATAAAGAGGTTTAAGAAAGCTTACAGGCGAAAATATATATATTGAAGGTTGCCACCTGTTTAAAATTTTGTATTAAATTTAATTGATAAGATAAATTAAATATTACAATATGGGTATCAAAAAGAAGAGGTTTAGGAATATTTACTGCCGAAAATATTTTTGAGGAGGGTTGCCACTTGTTTGAAAAATTTTATCAAATTAAATTGATAGAATATTACAATACGGATATCAAACAGCACGACAGTACTTATAAGACACTCACGCCGGAATTAGCTAGTCATAAATTAAATAAAGTTCTCCTAATCCTCACGAGGAGCCCGAAGTAACTTTTTGCTGAACCTTCTTAAGATCTTGTGATTGTGCACTATGCTTTCAATTTCTTCCTAATTACGCAAGCTCTGACAAAAATCACTAACCGGCAGGACCATTCCACCAGCATGCCTTCTCATTAAGCAGTCGCCGGTTATTATTATTACCACTTGCCAACAAAGTAGTGGAAGTTCTAGACGAATGAGTGAGTCAGACAAAAAAAAAAAAAGAGTCCAACTAAGCAAGAAAAACTGAACCAAATTAACTTTGGCTCTGAGGGAAGAAGAATAGGTGGGGAAAATTCCTTAGGAATTTTAAAATGTAACTAATAATTTCCAAACGTAAAAATGTTTTAAAGGAACTTTTACTTTCCATACCTAAGCGAATTCGAAATAAAGTGGTAGCGTTAGTACAAAAACAAAAACTTACAAGTATTTTGTTTTTGCTTTCGGTACACAAATATCAAATTTCAGCTTTTCTTCGCTTAAAGCAGAAAAGGAATTTAAAATTCTAACAATATTACTTTCGCGCCCACTCGTTAGAAGTTTTGACATCTTTGCACCGAGGCGAATTAAAGCAGCTGTTAATAGCTAGCAACACCACTTTTAAAGTCTGACATAAATTTTGGTAAATATTTTTCGACTTCAGTTTCGAGCATTAACCCTTTTGTTCGGACTTTTCCAGGATGTAAGCACAAACATAATTTTAAAATATTTGAAATTGAAAAAAGCCAATATGTGTAAATCAAAAAAAAAAAACATTGTATATCATATATATATATTGGAAAATATGTATCCCAATAAAATTTTATAGTTGGGCATATTTGATCTATCCATATTTCTCACACATATACCAGAAAATTTCTGTAGCCAATAAAAATTATAAGTTATATTTCATGTAAAAATTTCATAATGACATATTGCAGATGATGCAACAAAATACAAAAACAGTTTGGACTTTTTAAAAAACATGTTTAAATAGATTTAAGAGATTAGGAGTCTTACAAACATGCTGTGGTACAATAGTGTCCCTGGGCGATCGAAAGTGTTAAGACTGAAGCAGAAGTTATGGTCATGTTTACCAAGCTCATAAAAACGTAGCTTTGCCTATTATTAATACCAAAAAATAAAAATTACGGTTTAATATCTGCTCGAAAAATACCAGATCGATTTTTACTGGCTAAGTTTATACTAGCAATCGATCTGCTTTGTGAATAGAAATTCTGTAGTGAGTTAAAAACTCAAATTAACTATCTAATATTTTAAGTATAGAATCACAATAACGGCTTTTCTTTTTTAAATCAGACAAAAATATCTACTTAAAAAAAAAATATTACGATTAGCAGTGAAAGCTGCCTAAGCATGAAATATCTCTTGAATTTTATTTAATTTCAATTCATATCTATGCATGTAAGTGTACTTGGAAAGTGTGCTACAGCTGGCGAGTTCAGCTGTCCGTACCGCTGTCATTTCCTTCGCTTGGCTATTTCCGTACTTTCGTTTTCACTACCCGTTTATTGGCAAATCCTACCCGTACAAACAAAAAAAAAAATTCTACAAACTGTTGCCAAACAATGCTTTCCCCTACTCATTCCATATCAACTTTCTTTTTTTGTTATACTTTCCAATTTCTCTATTTCTATTTCTGTTTCTATTTTTAGTGAAAGCATCAAGTTGAAAATCGATGCGCACAGCGATGAGTGGCCCTATCTACACTATGCTCGCTTCGTGTCCACCCAAGCAGTTGGCAATGACAATGCAACCACCTCCGCGCCAACCACCGCCGGAAATGCGCTGGTGCTGGTCTACAACTATGACATCTACTACTGCCAAGGGCCGCGCTCCACCCATCATGTGCATCGTATAACGCGCGACGCTGTGCCTGGCATCGTCTATAATGGCATACCAGATTGGCTCTATGAAGGTGAGTTTGTTTGCAAGCGGCTGTAGATGGGGAGGGGGCTTTTAACTGACCAGTCAAGCTTCTAAGTGCCTTTTTTTTCGTTGGTTCACTTGTTCGTTGGTTGGTTGGTTCATTTCAATTCATTCATTCACTGATTGCGCGTTCGATTAAATTGCTTTAAATCGAAAATTGAATTTCCGTTCTTCACTTTCAATCTATATTCTCTTTCTATACCTCCGCGCGAAAACACACCTGCTGCTTGCTGTCGTCCACTGACCACCGCCGGCGGTTGGCTACTTGGCATTCAAATCGCATATGTGCCAAATGTTTGAACCCGACGACTATAAATCGTAATTGGAATTTCAAATATACATACGACGCCAACCCCAATGTCCGCTTGCCTCGCCTGCTTACAACTTTGACTTACATCTCTGCTGGTGTTGCTGTTGCTGGTGCTGCTGCCTTGCAGAGGAAATCCTGCACTCGAATAATGCAATTTGGCTCTCGAAGAATGGACACTTAATGCTTTACGGTGCGTTCAATGATTCGTTAGTGCAGGAGCAGCATTTCGCTTGGTATGGCACGACAAGTGGTGGCAATCCGAATGCGTATCTCTATCCGGAAATCAGATCATTAAGGTGAGTGGAAATGTAACAGGATTGCATTGAATTTCAAATTTTGTCGAATATGCAGAAATGTAGAGCGCATAAATGGGATGTACAATGGATGGTAAAGTGGGTAAAGAACTCGATATAACGTAAAATGAAAAGATTGAAAAAAGATTACATATTTCGGATACTCTTCGACTGATTATGTCTTCGAGCTAAAATATCTACCTTAGCACTAAAATCATTCGAGCTCAAGAAGCTTTTCTCAAATGGCCAAAAAAAACTCCATATGCCACAGAAAATTTTGTGCAAGAGTTATGGGAAATAAATTTAACTCGTCCGTCCACCAAACTTCACCCTCTTTCTGTATGTGGATTTAGGTCCTTCTAGAGCCGATAGCTGCCTAGCATTTACGGTTTAGCTACCTTGGTTCAGTGATGCATAACTCCGTCAACTCGATAGTTCGTTGGTTGGTTAGTTGATTTGGAATGTAATGACAAATCACCAATTAGTACTACGTGCCTGCGGTTTAAAACCAAAACTGGCATTTAGGAAGCTGTCTGACATAGATCCACTGAGTGGAGTTTAGGGACTTAACTTATTCTGGTGGATTCATTTCTCAATTCCATTAGACTTAGAGAAAGCTTGCCAGACCCTAGGAAAGGCTTTCCCAGAAACACTATCCCGGACCAACGGAGGGCATCGCTTCTGCGACAGAAAACGTTATAGCTTAGCGCCGTTCTAGTCGCATGTGTGCCTAAGGACCAGTGTCTTGTGCGCTTTGTCTCTAGACGACTGCCTCCTGGGTCTTTTTTTTACAATGAAGCCCATTTTAGGCAGTACGAAGACCACGGACTTCTACAAACTCTGTATGATTTGATTTTTTCCCAACTTTAGTTGGCATTGGCGAAACCTTTCTCAAAAAATTGGTGTTTAATGCAAATCAGAATAATAAGTACATCTTTTTCCCTTTGAATATCAACAGCCAGCCCGTAACCGTTTAGCTCGTCAGCCCATAAATGATGTATTCCCTGCATGCGGATCAACTCCACGCTATGTTTGCAGGCCAAAGCCATAACGTTCTTTTACATCATTTTTCTAGACCAGAAGTAGTCCCCACAGAGCCAAGGATACGAAAAAATAGCAATGTTTGTTCTCGGTCCTTCTCTGGGCGCCTTCCTAACCTTAGATATTCTGAAGCATCCTCCTCCCGAGAAGTTAAAGTTCTTCTTTTTCTTATTCAGCACCACAACCGTTTGTCGGTGTGTGCCGAGACTCTAAAACAAAATTTTGCCAATTACCTCTCTCCTTTCCGAATTTGCGAGAGTTGTTCATCCTGAGTGCAGGCAGGTCCTTCTGCACTTAACCTACCATTCTATTTGTGGACGCTCTTGATTTCTTTGTCCCCCCATGATTGCCGAGTCGAAGGATTTTTTCGCTGGAGTGTCGTTTTCTAAGCGTACAAAATAGCTAAGCCAGCGCAATCGTTGTATCTGCATACGCTTAACTAAGTACATGTCGGACGATGTGGCCTGTCCAGTCACGGGCTCATCTCTGCCGGCTTTTTTGCAGGAAAGTGGAGCCAATACGGAATACGATTGACACTTGGTGTGATGGGAATGGGCTCATCGCTAACCCAACCAGAATCAGTGTTGTGATCTTTACTAAAAGGAGAAGGTCGGATGGTTCCATTCCCCTCACCTCTAAACGAGTCACAATTCAGACTTCTCCCAAAGTGAAGTAGCTAAGAGTAATTCTAGATACAAAACTATCGAGGAAATCTCACGTGGAACAAAAGACCTCCAAAGCATTGACAGCATTTAGGCAATGTAAACAGGTTCTGGCAAAACGTGGAGTCTGTCACCAAAGGGAATCCTGTGGATTTATACCTCTATGATCAGTTCCATAATCAGCTATGCGTAAGTGGTATGGTGTAGCAGACTCCCAGTCAATAGCGTGGGAAATGTCACAGGATAATACGCCGCCACTACCCTTGTTGAAGAGATTCTATAGTGTTGAATTCCTTTAGGCTTAATGTTGGTTTAATACCAGCACTGAGCCCAGACTTTTTTAGGGCAACTTTTTGTGCTTCTGCCCCGCTTTATCAAGAATTAGGTATGACGCGTTTGGCCGCGATGTGTTGAGAGATGAACACCTGAGCTCTTTGACACCCAAGAATCTGCTTAGGTTTATTAATCGTGCAGACTTAAAACAGATTAAAGGGACAATCCAATTAACGGCATGTAAACTGATTGCTATTTTCTGCTAGCGTTGTTTTGTGCCAACAACAAAAAAGTACATGTCGTTAAAAAGCTCGTTCGTCATCCCATCTTCTTCGGTACTCGGACGAACTTCCTGTCCTGTCAATTAACTCAATGAAGTCCGTCGTCATCCCATTTACCAAAAGAAGGAATGTCAACTTGCCCAAACCCAAATTGAGTGGGACAGAGATTGAGTTCTCACTGAAGACGAAAGATTTAGGCGTAATACTAGGAAAGGTACTAAACTGCAACTCACATCAGACGGCGGTTACCAATAAATCCACAAAGGCCCCAAGGTACAACTTGCGGAATATCCCCGTAACTACTTTACTGGTCATTCAGTACAGTGTTAAACGCGATTTCCACCTATGCGGCAACGTCACTCTGGGTAAGTTCCAGCGCCTGGTTTGTGTGGTCCATGCGCACGTGTCCGACAGAGACGCTTGGAGTCATCTTAGGCATACCGTCTCTAGCTACGCTTATAGAGAAAGAAGCTCGGTGGAGTGCTATAATACTGCCGAACCTAAGTAGCTTGAAAATTGGGGACTTAAGGGGTCATTTGGGTGTCCTAAAACTATTCAGAAATGATCCCGTAGTAAAATTCGCAGACACAATGCTGCCGAAGCTGACCTTAATAAATCCCTACAAGGCAATATCAAGTTTGGTACACTGATGGTTCTATACTTGAGGATTGGAAACACTGGGGCTGGCGTGTATTGATCTTTCAAAAGAGCAACCCGATGAGCATATACCCATAAAAATCATGTAGTAGACAGTTGCAAAAACTAGTAATCAACAACAGAGTAACGTTGTGGTGCGTTCCGTGCCATGAGGGCTTCGATGGCAAAGAAAGGGACCACACTCTACCGAAATTCTGTACACAACGGAGTCAGATCGGTCCTCAGCCTTTTTTTGGTGCAACCAGAGGATACAAAGCAGAGTCCCTAAGGATAGGAGGACTTGCAAATTACAACCCAATAGCGCAGACAAGGGCCAAAGGCAGTCCAAAACAATAATAATTCCCTCTCGTGAAGTCTCTGATCGGCTGCTAACTCATAGTAGAGAGGGCTTAAGAACTCTCACCGGACAGCAGACTAAGGTACCATCGACACGAAATCGGACTCTTTGAGGAGACGAACTGCAGAATTTGTGGGCTATACCTATTATGTGATTGCCGCGTATAACTCGACTTAGAGCTATACACCTTGGAGAACGATTGTTATTTCCATCCATCTGAGACATGATACCCTCCAAAGAGCATAATTTCATTAATAGCCCAAGGTTGTAGTGACCCATTTCTAATGACGCATGCCTTAAAATATATACTTATAATTGGCAAACATAAAAACAAAATAAACACTTAATATACTCTTCCAACTAACCTATCCTTTTGGACAACCTCCTCAATTTTATTTACTCAGTTTACTGGATCTTGTAAAAGCTTCTAAATACATGATATGTAATTGCAAAGCAATTAATACCAACAACCCTACATACATATTTAGTATGGAGTTGATAACGGGTTGCATATACAAGTGGACATGTGTCACTAGTTGGAAAATCGTAATTTGATAAGCTTGGATTATTAAAATTCAATTACATGTATGTAAATTGCAGATGTGTTGAAGAACTATAATAGATAACGGAATGTAGACGACATTTTCACACATGACCAGCAATTTTAAGCGTGCATGCCAAAAGCTGATAAAATTTTCGTGAGCAAATATAAATGTGTATATATACGTCTATACATAAATACTGTACGAAGAACCCATTGAAAACACATTTGAATGCAATTAGTGTTTATGAGCAATTAATAGTGAAAATCATATCCTGACTAAGTATGTACATTAGGGTGGTCCAAAAAAAAAGTAAAGTCGGAATTTGAATGCTCTCACCCCCTAGAATTGTTCTACGTTCTATGTTTCTCAAAGCGCTCAAAGTATTCCATGTATTTTTATGGCAAAAAAAAAAAACAACTTTTCGTCGAAATGGTATGCAAATCTTGAAAATCAATATTTTTCGGTTCTGTTCAGAAGACTTCCAGTAACAATATCCAATTGTTTATTTAACCATTTTTTCTTAAACTAAAGATTTTTTATTGGTTCGCCCATTACCTATAAAAATCGTTAAATAAACAATTGGGTATTAGTATAGGGAATCTCCTGTAGAGAAATGTAAATATTTTTTGATTTCAAAATAAATAAAAAAGGGGTATATTTTTTGGTATAGAACAATCCTAGGGGGTGAGAGCATAATAATTCCGACTAATTTTTCTCATACATTTTTGGGCCACCCTAATGTACACACATTTGTATGTGTATGTGTGTAGGTTAGTAAATTCACGTCTGAAATTGGCAAAACTAAATAAAATTTATAAGGTTATGGGCATGTGAGCACAATTAACTATGCGAGTATGTACCCTGCAGGGAAAATCCGAACTAGTGAATCAAATTTATAGTTCAGCGCTAGTGTTTTATTTGCAAAAATGAACCAGTCCAATAGTAACTAGATCCCCACTATTCGAAAAGCAGTGAAATTTCGTACTTTTATAAAGTTATTTTATTTTACTTTTAAACACTACATATAGCTGGCTAAGATTAAAAGGCTGCTAAGTCCACTTTTGGTAAAAAATTTAGAATTGGTGCGGAACATAAAAAAGGGACGCAGAACGAACTATGTCGATCTTATTTTTCGAATTAAGAAATAGTTCGGGACTATACGTAAATGTACATATATACATAAACCCTAGATCTAATCAATACCTTT